TTTTTGTCTTTTTGAGTCAGGGTCTCACTCTATAGTTTAGGCTGGCCTTGAGCTCACTTTATAGCCCAGGCTGGTCTCAAATTTGCAACGATCCTCCTGCCTCCGCCTCCCAAGTGCTGGGATTGCAGGGGTGCGCCACCATGCCTGGCTTAAATTAACTTTGAAGGAAGTTTTTATTTGAAAAATAGACATAGAGAATAAATTGAGAAAATTACAGTTGTTTAAAATTTTGATATTTAAAGTGTTTTTAAGGAGCTGTTTCATTTTATGTGAATGATTATCTTTTTAAATTTAATTGGAAGCCAGGCACACACCTGTAATCCCAGCACTTGGGAGGCTGAGGCAGGAGGATTGTTATGAGTTTGAGACCACCCTGAGCTACATAGTGAGCTCAAGATCAGCCTGAACTGCATAGCAAGACCCTGCCTCAAGAAAGACAAGTAAATAAATAAATTTAATTGGAAATAAGAGCCATATCTACTAATGTCTTTTTTTTCTTTTTTTTTTTAATTTAGGAGGACAATGGAATTCCAGTGCATCTAAAGGGTGGGGTAACTGATGCCCTCTTATATAGAGCCACTATGATTCTTACAGTGGGCGGTAAGGCATTAAGCATGTTGACTGTTCATAGAAAAGTAGTAGTAACGATAACGTCATTATTTTTGTTGTGACATTAATAGATTAATGTAGGCAGTCTGCCTCTAGAATGTGACATTTTATTGCACCTGATTCAGGGATTCAAGAGGGTGATTGAAACATAGGCTATAAGAATGTTTCAATGTCTTTCTGACAGATAATACACTGATAAAATTTTATGATTAATCTTGTGATAGAGATGACTTTCTGAGTGTCATCATTAATGGCTCTGGATACTGTTTTTCAGCCAAAACTCCCTTTTTCTCCTATTGCAGATTTTAACTCTGATACAGAATAACATATTTTGGCTGGGCACATGCCTGTAATCTCAGCACTTGGGAGGCTGAGGCAGGAGGATTGTTGAGAGTTGAATTCAAGGCTAGGCTGGGCTACAAAGTGAGTTCAAGGCCAGCCTGAACTGCATAGTAAGACTCTGTCTCAAGAAGGCAAAAAAAACCAAAAACAACAACAAAAATATATTTTGCACATAAAACCTGTACATACATATTTATTGCTAAAATAAAACTTGTACCAAACAGTACTTTTACATATGCAAAGAGGTTTGATACTTTTTTAGTGAATTAGGTCTGTTAGTATTAGCAGGCATGTCACATGTGGAGTAGTGAGAACATCAGAGTTGGAATGTTTGCTCTCAGTATTTGCATAATTACTTTTTTTTTTTTTTTTTTTTTTGGTTTTTCTCCGGTACTGGGAACCGAACTCACAACCTTGCACTTGCCAGGCAGGCGCTTTTGCCGCTGAGCTAAATCCCCAGCCCCAGTATTTGCATAATTACTTTGTCCCCATCACATTGATGGGAATGTCATAAACTTGGATTTCTGTAACCCCATATAAAGTCATTATCCTTTTTTGAAGAATAGGTTCAGTGTATTAAACACTTACGATGGCGTTGTTTCTGTGTGGAAAAGCTGGGCTTTGGACTCTTAATTACAGAGACCCCATGTTCATGCCAAAGTTCCTGCTTTGGTTTGAGTGCAGTAAAGTTAAAGTGGAGGAGGCATTAATGAGTCAAGACAGTGACATTTGGCTTTTTTAGTAAGATAATGTCCTATAGTCTTTTTAGCCAGTGTAATCCTTTCTTAGATATTCTGATAATCAGCTTTAAAAATATAACGCCATTTATTAGCTATTTTTAATATTAAATGTGATTTAAAAATCTCATTCTTTGTTGGTTTTATGTTGATAACACATTTTAGGGAAGGCATACATATTTTTGCATGCTTTAGGGGTAAAAGGTGCTTTTGAATCTCCCTTAATATTTCCCAGGAAGTCTTAAGTTAATATAAAAATATGTGTTCTTACCCATATAGTCTTTGTGGTGGGGGGTTGGTTTGAGACAGGGTCTCACTGTGTAGTCCAGGCTGGCCTTGAACTCACTCCAGTCTTGCCTCAGCCTCCTAAATGCTGGGATCATAGGCACGTGCCGCGACACCTGGCTTCATACGTGTTCTTAATCTCATTTTAAAAATTTCTTGTGATACTTTTAAATTGACAGATGCTGCTGGGCGTGGTGGCGCATGCCTGTAATCCCAGCACTTGGGAGGCTGAGGCAGGAGGATTGTTGTGAGTTCGAGACTAGCCTGGGCTACAAAGTGAGCTCCAGGCCAGTCTGAACTATACAGTGAGACCCTGTCTCAAAAAGACCAAAAAAAAAAAAAGTTGACAGGCACACACACAAAAAAAAGTTGTGTAATACCTTAACATTTTCTATAGAAATTGACCAATATTTAAATTATATTAAATATATTTTATATATATTTAAAATGTTGCCAGCATCTATCATAGTGCATTTTTGTGTTGCTACTAAGGTAGTCAGTGCCACCTTTCTCTTACTGTATAACTTGAGCTGAAGTATATATTGAAGTCTGAGAGGTCTTACAAGTTCTTGTTTATATTTTTCAGGAACTGCGTATGCCATATATCAGTTGGTTATGGCATCATTTCCCAAGAAGCCGGAATGACTTCAGTTAAACCAGCAATCACGGGGCTCAGTTCATCAGCTCTCTGGACCAGTAATATGATAAATAACTGAGCTCTTTGGGGATCAATATTTATTGACTTGTACTAACTGCCATCAATAAAGCAGTCTTTACCATTCTTTGTCTTATTTTATCACTTTAGGATAAACTACAGCAATAAACCAGCTTCTGATCAGCACTTGTAAATTTTAGTAGGAGCAAAACAGTGATTCATTTGTCTTTAAGCTGCTAAAGTTCCATTATTGTGACATTAGTGAAATTTCAGTGTACATAGCTGAGATTAAAAAATAGATGTCTTTAGCTTCATAAGTTTGGCACTTGAAAGCATGTTGCTGTCTTCCTTTTTACTCTCTATACTGGGCTATGCTGGAACCTGGGGGTGTTGGAAGCAGGTTAGTTTGCGCCACTGAGTCTAAGTCTTTTTTTCATGTCAGCCATGTGAAAGTATGTTTAAACGTTCGTTGTAATCTACAGTTTAGAATTAGACTTTAGTAGAATAGGCGTAAAACAATTTAGTTATTGCCCCATCCTCAGAATGGGCTTTACTGTGTTACTTTAGTCCATAATGCAAAGTGTGAGATACTTAGTTCATTGTGAAGTTACCTTCTGGAAAACAGGAAGTCAAGCTCTGCTGTTTGGCAGGGTACACACTAGTAATGCAGTATGAAGATTGTAGGCTAGCTCTGTCAGATCTTTGTGAAATCTGAGTGTGGGTTTTATAAACTTCAGTGTCTAGGTAAAGTTAAGAAAATAATTTGGAAAAATTGGGTCAAGCCTGAAATTGTCTTATTAAGCCTTTTAGTTTCAAAACATTGAAGTTTATGATACAGGCCCTTAGTAGCCATATCATCCTGCTAGCTTTTGAAGGGAGGGGAATAAACATTGTAGACATTTCTTTTTGAAACAAGGTCTGACTTCTAGCCCAGGCTGGCCATGAACTCACAGGGATCCTCCTGCTTCAACCTCTTGAGAGCTGGGGTTACAAGCATGTGCTATCACATTTGGCCTCCTTTTTTACTTTTCTTTTTTGGGTTTTGTTTTTCTTTATTGTTTTGTCTTGAGATAAGGTCTTGTCTCTAGTTCTTACTGGCCTTTAACTCATAATGTAGCCCAAACCATTCTCTTAACACTGCCATCTGCCTACGTCAGTTTCCCAACTGCTGGGATTACAAGTGTGCATCACCATGTTCCAGTTTAGACATTTCTAAAAGTTGAGAAAGTTTTAAAGTCCTGGATTTCGACCAATTTGGTACTCCTCAGCTAAACAATAACTTGTGGTAAGCCAGTTCTGGTGGCGTATGCCTGTGAGTCCACTGGGCTCTGGGCACACTCTGGGCGACTGAGGGACCAGGATCACAAGTTTGAGGCTCTGCTGAGCGATTTTAGTAAGCCCCTGTCTCAAAAACATGAAGGCCTAGTGATGTAGTTTAGTGTGAAGGCCCTGGGTTCAGCTCCTAGCACCACAAAAAGCAAGTAACCACAATAATATTTTGAAACTGTCATCACTTTACAAGGAGAATTTAGTTCACTTTTATAAATGTGATTTTATTTTAAAAATTAATATAACAATGAAGACAAAAACAACAAATGACTCATGACCTCAAAACAAAATGATAGAAATTAACAGTGGTTACCACATTACCCACTGTTACCTTCAATGAAGTTGCTCAGCCTACCAGATATGAGTGTAAGATTGATCAAACAAAGACAGTAACAAGTAATAAAAAAGTTGGAAATGATGCAGAGCCTCACCATACGAGATGGTGGGACTTAAGCTGTTCTTATATTGCATATTGTTTTCAGATCAGTCATTCTGATTATCAGATTCAAGCATGCAAAATTGGTCAAGAAGAAAAATTTTAAACATTGACTGTTGTTTTCAATAAACAGACATCAGCAATACACTTATCTCAGCTATCCTTGTATATCCATGTAAATTTTTTCATTTTATAAAAACCAAAATAACAAAAACATATGAACAAAACAGCATAGAGAACAATAAAAATGATACAGAATTTCAAAACAGGATATTAGCAATGGTTATATTACATTTTATCCTCAGAATGGTTGCACATATAAGATACAGGCATGCAAGATTGATCAATTATACATTAACAGTTCTTTCAATAAACCAACACATAGTAGTAGTACAATTTTCCTAGCTATACTGTGTATACATATACATAATTTTTCCCTCTACTTTCTTTTTCCTCTCCCCTTCCTCATCCCAGTTGTTCCTTCCTATTTGAACAGTTTCTTTTCCATTTCACAATATCTGTTGTACCTTTCAGATTTTATTTACTCTTTCAGGTTCTTATAGTAGGGAGGAAATACGATGTTTACACATGTGAATCTGATTTATTTCACTTATGAGTATAGTCTAGTTGCATCCATTTACCAATAAAAGCCTCTAGTTTATCTTTCTTTATAGCTGAGTAATACTCCATTGTATAAAAATCCCACATCTTTTTTATCCATTCTTCAGTTGATAGACGTTTAGGTTGTTTGCAAGATTTAGCTATTACAAATTGCACTTCTATAAACGTGTGCACATATATTGCTGTGGTATGATGTTTTCAGTTCTGGAAAAATACCCAGGAGGAAAATAGCTGAGTTGAATGGGACCTCTAATCCTAGTTTACTGAGGAAGCTCCAGACTGATTTCCACAGTGGTTTTACCAGTCTACCCTCCCACCAACAGTGGAGAAGAGTTCCTTTTTCCTCACAGCATTTGTTCCATTTTCCTACAGCATTTGTTATGGGTTGATTTCTTGATGATAACCATTCTTTCTGTGGTGAGATGGAATCTCAGTGTTGTTTTAATTTGCATTTCCCTAGTGACTAATGATGTTGAACATTTTTTCATGTGTTTATTTGCCATTTGTATTTCTTCATTGAGAAGTGTGTATTCATCTCATGTGCCCAGTTTTGGATTGGGTCTTTGAATTTTGGGGACCTGATTTCTTAAAATTCTTTCTATGTTCTAGACAGGAGACCTTTGTGAGGGACAGTTGGCTAAAATTTTTTCCCAATTTGTGGCTTTTCTTTTCACCCTGTTGGTGATTTCTTCTGATGTGCAAAACTTTTCAATAAGATGAGATCTCCGTTATTGATTCTTTGAAGTATTTCCCATGCAGTTTGGTTGTTTATGAACTCTACCTGCCCCTATGTCTTCAAGACTTCCACTTACTTTCTCTTCCATTAGATCTAGTGTTTCTGTTTTAATATTTAGGTCGTTAAGCCATTTTGACTTTATTTTAGTGCATGGTGATAGGCTTGGGTCTCGTTTTAGTCTTCAGCATGTGGAAAGCCAGTTTTTCTGGCACCATTTATTAAAGAGGCTACCTTTCTTCCAGTGCACATGTTTGGCCCATTTGTCAAAGATAAGGTGGCTGAGTGTCTTTGTGGTTGTGTCTGCAACTTCTAGTCTGTTCTATTGATCCTCGGGTCTGTTTTTTTTGTTTTGTTTTGTTTTTTTGCCAGTACCGTGCTGATTTTATCACAGTAGCTTGGTAGTATAATTTCAAATCGGGGAATGTGATACCTCCTGCATTGCCTGTGTTTCCCAGGATTGCTTTTGCTATTCTGGGTCTCTTCTGGTTCCAGATGAATTTTAAGGATATTTTCTCAAGGTTTGTGAGGTATACCAATGGTATTTTCATCAGAATTGCATTGAATCTATAACAATTTTGGGAGTATGGCCATTTTCACAATGTTGGTTCTTCCTATCCATGAGCAAGGAATATCTTCCCATTTTTTGAAATCCTCTTCAATCTTTTTTTTCAGAGTACTGTAATTTTCACTGTATAGATCTTTTACTTCTTTTGTTAAATTAATTACTAAGTGTTTTAGTTTTTTGGATGCTGTTGTGAAAGATATGGTTTCCCTTATTTCTCTCTCAGTATGTTTGTTGTTTATGTGTAGGAATGCTATTGATTTTTGAGTGTTGACTTTGTATCCAGCTGTGCTACTAAATTTGTTGATTAATTCTATGAGTCTTTCCATAGAGTTTTTAGGGTCTTCTATGTAGAGTATCATGTCATCTGTGAATAAAGATAGTCTCACTTCTTTCTTTCTTATCTTTATTCCTTTTATTTCTCTCTCATCTAATTGTTCTGACTAGTGGTTCCTGAACTGTGTTGAATAGGAGTGGTGACAGTGGACATCCTTGTCTTGTTCCTGATTTTAAAGTGAAAACTTTCAGTTTTTGTTCATTTTAGAATGAGGTTGGCTGTTGGTTTGTCATAGATGGCTTTTATCAGATTGAGGTTAAGTCCATCTATTCCAATTTTCTGTAGGGTTTTTACCATGAATAAGTGTTGGACTTTATCAAAAGCTTTTTCTGAATCTATTGAGATGATCATGTGATTCTTGTCTTTAGTTCTGTTGATATGGTGTATTATATTGATTGAATTGCATATATTGAACCATCCCAGCTTTCCTGGGATGAATCCCACTTGGTCATGGTATCTTCTTTGAGAATTTGCTACATTCTATTAGCTAATATTTTATTGAGAATTTTTGCGTCTGTGTTCACTAGGGAGATTAGCCTATAGTTCTCTTTTTTGGCTAGTTCTTTTTCTGGTTTTGGTATCAGGATAATACTTGCCTCAAGGAATGAGTTTGGGAGAATTGCTTCCCTTTCTATTCCTTTAAAGAGTTTGAGAAGAATTGATATTAAAACTTCTCTAAATGTCTTGTAGAGTTCAGGAGTGAATCCATGAGGACCTGGGGGTTTTTTTGTTGGTAAGTTTTTTTAAATTACATTTTCAATTTCATTGGCTGATATTGGGTTATTCAAAATTTTTATATCTTCTTGATTCAGCTTTGGTAATTCATATGTATCTAGGAAACTGTCCATTTCTTCTGCGTTTTCCATCCAATGAAACTAAAGATTTTCAAAGTAGGTATTGATGATCTTCTGAATTTCTACAGGATCGGTAGTGACATCACTGCTTTGATGCCTTATAGCATGGATTTGAGTTTTTTCTTTCCTTTTTGGGTAAGGTTGGCTAGGGATTTATCAAATTTTTTAAATTTTTCTGAAGAACCAGCTCTTTGATTCATTAATTCTTTGTCTTGTTTTCTTAGTTTCAATTGTGTTAATTGCATTTTTTA